TGTAAGCTGTAACGCTTCATATTAAATGTATGCATTTATCCACCACCAAAACAAATAAAAATCATGACAAAATTGGGGGTGGGAGATACACGAAACACTTATTCTAGTTGGAATTCTATCAATAAATGTTTTGGGTCTGTTTTCTTTTGGTTGTCATTATTGTTCATTAAAAGAACATAGAATTGGCATATAACCCAGAAATTCCACTTATAAATATACACCTCCCCCAAATGAAATCAAAGTTCATTCAAGCTCACAGCAACATTAATAGTAATAGGCAAAAGGTAGCATCCACCCAAGTGTTCACTGACAGATGAATGGTTAAACAAAATGTTACCTATACCTTAAACAGAATATTACTTGGGTTTAAAAAGAAAATTCCAGGGAAGTTATACAGTTCAGTGGTATGGCACTTGACTAGCACAGGTGAGGCCCCAGATTCCATTCCATCCCAAGTACTGGGAAAAAACCCTTTAAAAACTAAAACACCGATTTTGTAAACAAACAAAAACCCAAACAACCCCATGTAGCAGAATCAACTCAAACTAGATCTTGGTAAGCGTCATTGCTTCATTCTGACAACTACCGACTCTCTGATGTGTGCTCCCCAACTCTACGGAGCACATGCCGTCCTCCTTCCCATCTTTATCTCCACTACTGCAACTCACTAACAAGACCGGCAGTTACCAAGCCCATATCACTACTAGAGTGATCGTTACAGCAAAATACATGGAGTGCTTATTTTGTGTCAGGCAATGTTTTTTTAGGTTCAGCGGATACAAGCATGGAATCAGAAATCCTTCAGGGAATTCAATGTGGTCGGAGATGGGGGGTGGGGAAGGAGGGAAGGAATGACATTATTCTATTTTAGATAGTAAAAATACTATGAAATGAAAGCAAGCAGGATTAACACGCCAGAAGACTCACTGAGCTAAGTATACTACTCATCAGGGCAATAGTTCCCACAACTCTGCCTCAACAATGTCTGCTGTACTGTAAGTATGCTATACACATCGAGAAGCTGCATCCTCAACTAACAAAACTTCCATAATTTATAAAACGTGACTTTTATGTAGGAAAAGTATAAAATGAAGTAAGAATGAGACAAAACTGAAAACAAAATGAATTTCTACTTCCTTTGGCAGAACAGCACTGTGTCTGTCAATACTGTGTAACCCAGGAAATTCACAACAAAGCATAGATCTCCTAAAGCCCACATACTCAGCAAAACCATCTTCAAAATACCAATTTATGTTTCTGTCACTCCCTTCAATTTAGCCACTCTCCAGTTAGTCAGACTGGAGTCGTGGCAGTAAATGACTTTAACCTCCCATACTACCCAGGGTTCCAAAGAAAATCAAGCAGTCTGGCGGAGTTTTTACCCCTACCTGGATTCTCCCACACTAAATCTCTGCTATTGACTTACTGACCTATCAAGGTTCTTCTTATCTGTACAGCTCACTTGAATAACAACACGAATATGATTTATCTAGAAAGTGACGTTTATGTTAAATTCTTTCTCTGGTCTGAATATCTGACACTATGTTATTCCTTAAACGTTATACACTTCATGACTGAGTATACTTACCTTTAATCTCTTACGTCTTCAAGAGCGGGCACTCATTATTCATGCTTTATATACAAGAGTTCTAAAGATGCCATGAAGTCCTGCTTGGTGTCCAGGTACCAAAATGTGATGGTTTAGTAAGAACTCTTAACAGGATTGTAAAATAATACCAGTTGGCTATACTCAAACTCTAATTCTGACACTAATAGCATGAATCTCAAAGATGTTATTAGCAAGTTTTCCATTTGCAAAATGGTGAGACTATCACACACCTTACGACCAGAGTAAAAACCAGAGTTAATGGGAAAAAAAGTGTGGTGACCCATGCTTCAGCAATCAAGAGGCTGACAGAGAGGATCCTGTGAGTTAAAGCCTAACTTGAGATACACAGTGAGTTCTAGACCAACATGACCTAAAGAGAGAGACTCTGTACCAATTTCAATAAGTAAAACTCAAACTGAATGAAACATGGTAACATAGTGCAACACACACTACAGGCATAGTTACCATTTCTCCAGAAAGCAACCTCTCCATTGGTAAAATGATAATATCACATCTCTTAACTCAGATTCACATTCAAGTATCACACACCACTTATGGTATCAAGATCACCAAGTCAGGGAATGGGGTTAAGTTTCATAAAAGAGCTCCAATGACAGTTGGTTAATATCTACTCTACTTAATAAGAACATCTATAGAGCCAGTTAGTTCTTTAATGGCTTAATAGGAAACTGTGACAGAACAGAAAATAGCTATATTCAAATTGTAATTTGTCGCTTTCTTTAATGTAATGCAAAGCTGTCAAAAACCCAAGAATTTCATCACATTCCAAACCTAATAAACTGTGAGCCAGTACAAGGTGAGAGTCATCTGAGAAGCACTCCTTTCCTATCGGTTTTCATGACGCCAAGGACAACTTGGAACTACAAAATTGATAGAACACAAATGTTAAGTGTATCCCTTCAAAAACCACACTATGTTATCACAATCTACATTACAGTGAATGGAATTGTATTACAATGTAAGTCAGATTTATCACTCCTCTGCTCAGACAGCCCGGTTTCATGCTGAGTGAAGACGAAATCTTCAAAACAGTCTACAAGGCCCTGGTTGCTTTGTTTTCCTTTCTTTATGATCTCATGTATAATTCTCTCATTTGCTAAACGCTACAAACACTCCTTTAACAGGCCCAGCTTTGTCCCCTTCAAGGCCTTCGTGATTGCTGTTCCCCTGCTCAGAACGTTCCTTTCTCCAGATACTTCCATAGGTAGATGCCCTCACCATCTTCTAGCTTGCTTAAATATTGTTTGTTTACCCAAAAGGCTTTCTAAAACACCCCTACACATAAAATAATAATAAAAAAAGTTACACTTAGAAATATGCTCATTTTGATCTTCTAGACCACTCTACTGCAGCTTCTCCCAAGCCTCCTGTGCTGGTACAGACTACTCCTTTAACATATAGCATAACACACATCCATCCTTCATTCCTCACTAGAAAGTTTCATGAGGGGACTGGTAAAATGGTTCTGCAGGTTAATCGCCTGACCAAAGTTCCATCCTGAGGACCTACATGGCAGAAGGAGAAAACCAACTCCTATAGGTTGGCCTCTAACCTCTACAAGAGGGTATAATATACATAAAGAAACATGTGCAAAAAAAAATACTTAAAAATTTCGTTGAGTGCAGCGGTCACAGACTTAACTCAGGCAATTCGAGAGAGAATAGGCACAGAGGCAACATTTTTTTTTTAATTAAATTACCTTAGGCCATGTAATTCTCCTTCTAGGTAAAGGAAAATAACATTTTCTTCCCTAGAAGAATAAATTTTTGTGTCAGAGTTACCTGCCAGAACAGGATTGGGCTCTACGAAGTTTAAATGAATTAAGACATAATCCCTGCTGTTCAGGTGTGTGTGTAGACAATACAGAAATAACACTTGCAAAAAACAAACAAACAAACAAACATACATGCAGGAAAGCCACAAAACGACAGCCTAAAGGCGTAGGGGTGCAAAGTGAAAAGCTAAGATGACAGAAAAGCTTATATATGCTTCCAAACTTCAATAGTATAATTTTTCGTTACGTTTCTGGTACGCGTTTGCAATCCATATATATTATTTAGTCACATCAGGTAGGCTCAAGTAGGCCGCAAAAAGTTTGTAACTGTGGTGATGATGTTAATCATGACCTACTCAAGGCTTCACAAAGATCAACGACTATTACTACCTTCCAATCTGTCAACTTCCTCTACAGAGACCCTCTCCCTCCATTTGTGGGCCTGCAATCCCCAACAACTACCAACAGGGATCAACACACCTCCACTGACTCTCACAGCTTAAGAGCCCAGCACCCTGAAAATTCCTTCCTGTAGCCCATCAAGCACCGCCTCCGGAAAGCCGCCAAGCGGGCCTCGTTAAGACGTGCGAGGAGCAGAGCCGTGGGAAGGCAACGGAGCTCCGGAGGGCCGCCCCCGGGGCTCCAGACCCCGTACTCATCCCTCCCCGGACCCCTGCAGCCTCCCGTGTCCCGAGGCTCTGCCGATTCTTTGTTAAGCGAGACCGAGGTTCCTCCGCCCTCGCCAGGCCCCAGTTACCTCTCGTGCCCCCGGGGCTAGCGGGACTGCGTCCGGAGAGCCCTCTATACAAACCTGATGCTGCGGCTGCAGACGCAGTTGCTACTACAGTCGGCGCGAAAGAACCCCCGCGGCCCAGCGTACGCGCGGTGCGGGACCGCGTCCAGCCGCGCTCTTCCTCCGCCCCCTTCGCCGCCGCCTCACGGCCCGTTGCTGACTGGGGGTGGGGAGGGGGGGTGCATCTGACATGCGCGCTGAGGAGGGCGCGAGCCGAAGGGTGTGGCTGGGGCTACGGCTCCCGAAAGGCGCCAATTACGCCTGCCCTTCCGATTCCGGAACACAACATAAACACGTCACACACTCCGGACGGAAACCTGGTTCTGGGTGAAGAGTGTGTATGGCTCGTGTAGAGAGTAGATCTGGGATGAAGAGAGCGGCGGCGACAGGGAACCGCCCCAAAAATTCAAGATAATAGGCTGTTAACGGGAAACTTCATTTACTTAAGAATGTCGATCCTCCCTTAACTCTTGTCTCTTGCCAAAATACAAAACAACACACACACAACCCCCACGACTTGGGCAACATTTCCCTTCCTGCCTCTGTCCACGTGGTCCCATAGACTATGGCCACCTTTAGCTTCCGGAGCATCAGATCAAAGTGACGTCAACCCGACGGAACCCTACGGGAGAAACCCAGGCTCCGCCAGAGCACTTCTAGCCCAGGGGGACGGCGGGGGTTACGTAATTTTCCCAGCAGCCCTATCTCGCCTTGCGCCGACGTCCTTAAGGCCGCGCCCCGCCCCACCACGCCGCGCGCAGGCGCAAACTATCCGTACGCATTCTACGTAACGGACGGCTGAAGCTACGTGAAGAGTAGGGTACCGTGACTGAGCTACCTGTTCTGGGCTGTACAGGGACATTGCGGCCAGCAGATATCTTTGCGACCTGAAGGCAGAAACCAGACAAAGGCAGGCCGGGTGGTGGTGGTAGCCTCAAGAGCCCCGGGCCCGGTTGCAGCCTTGGGTGCAGGTAGGTAGCGGGCCATGACATGCCAGTCGGTGTGACCGGGCCAGGCCGAGCGGTGACTAAGTTGCGTGGCCGCAGAGCCAGGTACTGTTAATCTACTAACCAACCTTTAAGTCCGGCCGGTGGTGACATGCATTAATACCCGCAATTTATCTCTCCTGAATTAAAAAAAAAAAGATTAAACCTCTGTCCAACCTTTTCTGGTCCATTTTCTGTTGGGCTTTAGGAGTCATATTAGTGGTTTCGAGTAGATCCCAACCAACAGGACAAAATCTGAAAAAATATCCGGTGTGCAGTCAGAAGAATGGAGTATAGACACTAGGCTTCTCCGTGGTAGAGGTAGGACCAGACATTCGAAGTTTCACGGAAGCAACCACTACTAGAGTCGACCTTAACCGAAGGTTTCTAACATACAACTTATTTGTAACCAACACTTTGTAAGGTGACAGTAATATCTACATCATTTCTTGAAGTTTCATCATTTTGACTAATGGCACAAAGGCCTGAAAGGACAAGCAATGATTGCTACATTTACTCCTTTCTATTGAGTGAGCTTGTGGAAGATAATCAAGACGGGCATGTTAATGCTTGTGCCTGCCTTGGATTCTTGTGCTTTCTGCTTCAGAAGTCCTAGAAGCTGGGTGACCTGGTACAGAGCTGTGCATCTGAGAAATGGGTTGACAGGTACAGCCGAGTCTTATCAGAGAGAAAGCCAGTGCACAAATGGCTTGGATAATTTTAACCTAAATAACCTTGAGGGAGCCTGGTTGTATGAATTACATTAGAAATACTTCTGTGTTGTGAACGTTCATGGTGTAGACTGAGATTGAAATGACAAGACTGTCAAGTTGGCAAGGATATGTTGTTACTTCTACTTGAAAAGGGAGACACTAAAGCAGAAGATCTTCCTTTTTTGAGACAATGTCTCTTCCAGGCTGGCTTAAAACTCACTATGTAGGACAGGGCAGGGCAAGCCACTGGAACTCAGGGTAGCCCTCTTACTCTTAACTCTGGCTCCCTGGCGCTGGGATTACAGAATTAAGCTACTACATCTGCCCCCCCCCTTAAGTATAAGGTCTCACAATGTAGTCCTGGCTGGGTTTGAATTTGGACATGCACCTGCATTTGACTCCTGAGTGCTGGGACACCCCACTCCACCAACCCCTTAGAGTTTTTAGACAGGGTCTCATGAAGCCTGAACTCACTATGTAGAAGAGGATGGCCTTGAACTTTGGTCTCTCTGCCTCAGTCTCCCGAGTGCTGGGATTCTAGGAGTATACCACCACACCCAATTTTATATGGTCCTGGTATCAAGTGAGACACTCTTTAACAACTTGAGTTACATACCCAGCCTCCCTTTGTAACATTTTAAAAATTAACATTAATTTATTTATTTGGGTCAGACATTTATATAAGGGGAGAGGCATACCACTGTGCATGTAGAGATCAGAAGACAACTTGTAGTTTAATCATCAGTAGTAATACTTACACATCCCCATCAGTAGCCTTGAATGTCAATGCTTAAAAATAGATTTTTTTTCTTAGATAACTAAAGATAGAGGGCTGGTGTTTAGATGAGGGAGCAGAATTGAAAATATAAATGATTTTGTTGGTTGAAAATATTTTTGCATTGTCTTCTGAGATTGCATGCAAAATCAATACCCTTAGGCTGAGCCCATTTTGTAACTTAGTTGTATTGATACACTTTCTTTCTGTACTTGTGTTCACACTTGTGATGATCATAGCAATTGTGTGTCCAGGAGAACATATCTATAGTTGATCTGCAGGTAAATCGCTTTCTCTTTTAATACTGACAGTGAAGCCAACCTTTTATTTGTCAGAAGAATGACTACAAGGACTATACTGGCAAGCTTCATTTCAGTCTTGTTTTTTTTTTTAATTTATGGTTTATTTTGTAACTATTTACATATCCATTGTTGTATCTTATTCTCTATAGTCCTTAGTTCTTTTAAAAAGGGTTTTTTTTTTTAAATTTTTAATTTTATATGCATTGGTGTTTTGCCTGTATGCATGTCTGTGTGAGGGTTTCAGATTTCCTGGAACTGGAGTGGCAGACAGTTTTTAGCTGCCATGTAGGTGCTGGGAATTGAACCTGGGTCCTCTGGGAAGAACAACTAGTACTCTTAACTGCTGAGCCATCTCTCTAGTCCCCAGAAAGGTTTTAATAGTCTCTCAAAAATACTTTTGTGGGGGAAAAAAGCTTATGGAATGTATAATTTACAGAAAGGAGATTTTAGCGGGTTGAACCTAAAGAAATTAATAGTATATCTTTGTTTTTACCAAGAACTGCTGACAGGATTTGGATAGACCCTAGACCTCTTGGCCTCAGCTCATTGTTTCCTTTACATAGGGCTGTCTGCATCCAAGAGTATCGTGGAAGAGGAAAGCAGGAGGCATTTGTGAGATTGTTTATTTTTTAAGTAAGGGTCAGCCTGTAGATTGGTCTAGCTTTGAGCTCAGTATATAGCCAAAGCAGGCCTTGGGTTTCTGACCCTCTTCCCACTCCGAAGTACTGGATTGCCAGCATGTACCACCACACCTAGCTGCTCTGTAGATTACTAACAATTTACGAAATAGAATGATCATGTATGTGCAAAGGTAGTCACTTAGCACACACTGTTTCTCACGGCTTATTTTTAAGGTGCAATGAAAGCCTCCTATGCTTTCTGTGTTGTCCTCTTGGTGTTTGGGAGCGTCTCTGAAGCCAAGTTTGATGATTTCGAGGATGAGGAAGACATAGTAGAGTATGATGATAATGATTTTGCTGAGTTTGAGGACGTCATGGAAGATTCTGTTACGGAATCTCCTCAGCGAGTGATCAGCACTGAAGATGATGAGGACGAGGCCACCGTGGAGTTGGAAGGGCAGGATGAAAGCCAAGAAGGTGATTTCGAAGATGCAGATACCCAGGTGGGGCTTTTGTTTTTTAAGATTTATTTATTTCTACGTGTATGAGTATTTTGCCTGCATGTAGGTGTGCAGTGTGCACGTGGTGCCCGTGAATCTTTTGGAACTGAGCAGCCATGTGGGTTCTGGAAATCAAATCCAGGCCCTTTGCAAGAACAACAAGTGCTCTTAATTTATGAGACATCTCTCCAGCCCCACCAAGTAGGTTGTTTATTATTGATTTATTGGGGAATTCAGGAGGATGGAAAAGTTTATTAGTGATTTTTCAGACAAAAACCCAATTATGGGGAGAATGTTGCTGTCTGGAGTCTTCACTCTTGTTTAGCTCTTCTAGTTTACTCTCTCGAGATATTTTTCTGGCTGTTGTTTTATTTTATTTATTTATTCATTTATTTATTTTTAAAACAAGGTTTCTCTCTGTAGCCTTGGCTGTCCTGGACCTGGCTTTGTAGACCAGGCCGGGACACCAAACTCTAGACCTCAGACTCACAGAGGTCTCCCTGTCTCTGCCTCCCGAGCGCTGAGATTAAAGGTGTGTGCCACCACCTCCTTTAACTCTTGTGACTATTTTGTGGTATGTTCCTACCTTTTACCTGGATAAAGCATTGTGTTTTCTGTACTTACTGGAGTAGATAAGGTCTGAACTGAGAGTAGATAATGGATGGATAAGAATTTAGATCTTTGAGTTTTAAAGTAAAGTAAGTGTCCTCATTCTTTCAGTGTTTGGGAGTTTTTATGTCATCTTTCAGGTTTGCTATTTATTTATGCTGTGTAGTATCTCATTTTGTTTGTTTCTGAGAAATGATCTCACTGTGTGTTTTGTTTTTCTCTTTATCATATGCTTTGGTATGCATGTCCAATGCAGAATTAAATTAATCAGATCAGGCTAATTGACGTATTCATCACCCACATAGTTTTATGTGTAGGAAGAAGATGTGAGAAAACTAGGACATTTTCTTTCTGTCTTTTTTGTTTGTTAGAGGCAGGGTCTCACCATGTAGCCCCAGCTATCCTGGAACTTGCTATGTAGACTAGGATGGCCTCAAAATCACAGACCACTTGCCTCTCAAGTGCTAGGATTAAATGTACTTGCCACCATGCTCAGCTCTCTTACTGAAATTCAAATCTGAAATGCAGTGTTAATGTCATTAAGCATGAATGTTTGTTTTCTGGAACTTGCTTATCCTATACCTCCAAGTTTGGGATTTTGCTAAAAGCATTTCTGTCTTCGTTCTGTACTTGTTGCTCAGGAGTCATGCCTTTCTCTACAGATGTCACCAACAAACGGCGACACAGCTGCTGGTGCCATTTGTAGACGTGACTGTGTTTTGTTTTTGTAGGAGGGAGATACAGAAAGTGAGCCGTATGATGATGAAGAATTTGAGGGTTATGAAGACAAGCCAGATACCTCTGCTAACAAAAATAAAGATCCAATAACAATTGTTGATGTAAGTATATAAGATTCTAAATCACAAACTAAACAATAACCGTTAACACCATAACTATAATCCATGGTGCACAGTGGGTGTTGGAATACTAGTGCAGTCTAATAAAGAGCCTAGCATGAGTTGTGATGGGCATCCATCACTGTGAAGCAGCTCTCAGGTTGTCGTCTAGCCTGTCTACCTTTACTTAATTCAAATGTAGTAAGTGGGTGTCTGAGCATGCTGAGCTGGGTACATTTGATTGTCTTTACATTTTCTTTCTTTTTTTGTTGTTTGAGACAAGGTTTTTCTATACAGTAGCTCTGTCTGTCCTAGAACTTGCTTTGTAGACCAGGCTAGCTTAGAACTCACAGAGAGCGGCCTGATTCTGCCTCCCCGAGTGCTGTGACTAAAAGCATGTGGCACCACACACAGATGTACATTTTCCTAAAGAGTCTTTTAAAAGCTGACCTGGAACTGGGCATGGTGGCCATGCCTTTAGTCCTTTTTGGTTTTTCAAGACAGGGTTTCTCTGTGTAGTCCTGGCTGTCCTGGAACTCACTCTGTAGACCAGGCTGGCCTCGAACTCAGAAATCCGCCTCCCTCTGCCTCCCAAGTGCTGGGATTAAAGGCGTGCGCCACCATCGCCCAGCCAAGGCAGATCTTTTGACTTCTCAGTTCTCTGGTATACAAATCAAGTTCCAGGACAGCTGGGGCTCAGGTTCCAGGACAGCTAGGGCTATAGAACCTTGTCTTGAAAACAAACAAACAAAAAAACAAAATAAAAAGCTGACCTAGAAGATCAAAATGAGCATACTTTTCTAAATGTAACTTTTTTATTATTTTGTGTGTAGGAGTGTTTTTTTCTGCATGTATATTAGGTACACCATGTGCATGCCTATTCCTCTTGGAGAACAGAGACAGTATCGGATCCCCTAGAACTGGAGTTAGAAATGGTTATAAGCTACCATTTGGGTGCTAGGAACCAAGCCTATATCCGCTCCAAGAGCAGCCAGTGCTTCTAACCATTGAGTCTTCTCTCTGAACCACTAAAGTATAACTTTTTCCCAGTGAGAGTTATATCACATATCCGCTTCTGTGTATGGGCTTTTCATTTTTCATCCATTCCTTAGACTCTTGTGTTTAATCTCAGCCAACATTAAATGGGAATTTTTCCTTCTTTAATTTAAGGTTCCTGCACACCTCCAGAACAGTTGGGAGAGTTATTACCTAGAAATTTTGATGGTGACTGGTCTTCTTGCCTATATAATGAACTACATCATTGGGAAGAATAAAAACAGCCGACTTGCTCAGGCCTGGTTTAACTCTCATAGAGAGCTTTTGGAGAGCAATTTTACCTTAGTGGGTAAGTGAAGCCAATCCAAGTCCAGCAGCCTGCCTGGAAACAGTCTGTTAAGAACAGTTTATCCCTCACTCAGCAAAAAATAGCTAAGTGCTTTCACGGGATGCTGACTGCAGTGCATTGGTTTTTTCCAAGGACCCTATTTTGTAGGGTTCTATATATGAGTAAATTAAATATATAGGCTCATTTTTTATTAGTCAACAGTAGAATTACTAAATAGCTTTTGATACAGTCAATATAAAAGCAAAATTTGAAAATTCCTTTTGAAATAAGAAACTGCCATTTTAGGTAGTTTGATAAACTAATTTCAGTTTGATTTTTAGAAATGGGAAATTCTCACAATTTCTTCAAGTATGTCACAGGTGCGATACACACGCAGTCTGTAGGGTAGGCAGCTGTGTGAGGTTGTGAGGGCAGCCACCTTCACACTCAGCACCTCAGTCTCCTTAGTGACAAGCTCCCTCCCACCCATCTGCTGCAGTTCACACGCACTGTCGTGTATGTTACACTGTGGGGTGTACTTCACACACATTGTTTTGTCTGGTGGTTTTAGTTGTTTTAGTTAACTTGTTAGTGCTGTGTGTATTGGAGGTGGGCAGGAGTGCTAGTGGCAGCAAGCATAAGCAGGAAAAACCACCTGTGGGGTTCCTTCTCTCCCGCCACATAAGGGTTCCAACATTCAGGATTTAGTAGCCAGTGCCTTCACCAGCTGAGCCATCTTGCTGGTCGATTCTGAAGCCCTGAGCAGGCCTCTACCTTCCTAATGCCACCAAGTTAAGCCTCACAAAATGTTGGGGTTTGTTTGGTTGGCTTTTTTTTTTGTCACATATTGTTTCTTAATTGTTCTTTGTTGCAACACTGTTAATTAGATATAGTTTGGCTTTTGTAAGAAGGAAAGTCATATTACAGCTTATCTAAGAGGTTAAAGTACAGCTGTTATTAGACTATATTAAACTATACCTGTTTACCAGCAGGTGATCTCTTCCCTGTTTCATGGTTTTCATGGTGTTTTTTGATCAGAGAATTTGGGTTGGGGGTGGTGGGGAACATTCTTTGGCTCATTGCCCTTCCTCTTCTTCATGCCAGACAGAGTCCACAACTTTTTTTATGAAAACAATAAAGAGTTTTAAAAGTAAAAAGAAGTCCCACCTGTACTAGGCTTCTCCTACCTCTACAGCAACCATCGGCACCCCAGCACACTGGGCCCAGCAGATGATAAAGAGCCTGTCTGTCTCCCTGATGCCTGGTCTTGGTGCCCGCTGTGCACTGGTAGCAGTGGAGATACCATTTTCTCTGCTCTCTGCATATATTTACAGAGGAACATGAATGGATAGCAACATAAAACGGTGGAACAGTGGAAATCAGTCACTTTGCACAGGAATCTCTGGGAGTTGTTCGCTGTAGTCTGCGTGAAGTTGGTATAAAATTGAGATAAAATAATGATTTTGGTGATTTGAAATGTCTGGAAACTGCCTTTGAACTCTAACCTGTCAGAGGTAATTGGAATTAATGGGGCTCATTCAGAAAATCCAGGCCTTATGTACAAATGTTGGTATGAAGACGGTTGACTGAGAGATGACCCTGAGTGTGTCTTCAAGACTAGATGAATTAAGGTACGATGGAACAGGTGATCAATATAGACATCACATCTATTAAGGTGTAAAACCTTTAAAATATATTGAAGTAAAAGCAGCAGTGCTGATCTTATAATCCCTGTCCAAGGAAATTCTGTGAGATAGCAAAGCATCGCTGTCTAAAGTGATCCAAATGTCCAGCGAGTCAGATTCAGTGCTCTTACTCTTAGGGGATGACGGGACTAACAAAGAAGCCACAAGCACAGGAAAGTTGAATCAGGAGAATGAGCACATCTATAACCTGTGGTGTTCTGGCCGAGTGTGCTGTGAAGGCATGCTTATCCAGCTGCGGGTGAGTAGGGAGCTTCTGCTCTGACAAATAACTTCCCTTACGTTTTAAAATCAAGATCTGAGTATTGTATTTCTACTAGTTGGCAAATGAAACATTTGAGTCCCTCCAAGGCTCTTCTGTAAGCATAAGCTACAAGGTATTGACTTATTCCTCTCATTTTTTCAGTTCCTTAAGAGACAAGACTTACTTAATGTCCTGGCCCGGATGATGAGGCCAGTGAGTGATCAAGTGGTATGTATTCCTGCTGGTTTTCTTGGTACAATCTCAATTATTTCCTAACTATTCCATTTCTGTCTGGATTGTATTTGAATTCCACGCCAGAAAATGTGATGCTTGTCCACCAAAGCAGATGAGCCTTGCTGATTTCAGCGTCCGGGGCCTCTGATTGCTTTTTTTCAATTTTTTGTTTGTTTGTTTGTTTGTTTTTTTACTTTGGTTTCTTCTCAAATATTTTTACTTGTTCAAATGATTAATTTTGATTGAAAGAGCTCAGATGACAATCTAGGTTGTTGGTCTACTGTCTTCCATTTATTAAATTAACGTGAATCTACAAATTGTGTTCACTGTCAAAAATGTCTCTTGCTTCTCTCCCAAAGAGATATTCTCAGATAGGAGTGTTACTTAGTTTGCTTTTTTTTTCTTCTGGGTTCTGTTAAAGAGACTTCTTTTGTAATTTCCTGTAAATACAGACATACAGAACTTTTTTTTTTTAAGATATAGCTACCATTTACCAGGTGTTTCCCTACATTAGCATCCTGGGACCTCCTTTGAAAAAAAGATTTTTGAGTTTTATATGTGTGATGCCTACATGTCTGTCTGTGTATTACATGTGTGCACAAAAGGAGTATTGGACCCCATAGAACTAGAGTTACAGGTGGTTACGAGGTATCATGTGGGTGCTAAGAACTGAACCTATGTCCTCTGCAAGAGAAGCAAGTGTACTTAACCATTGAGCCATCTGTCTCCAGCCCCACAGTTTTCTTATTCCTTATACTAAGAATTTGGCCCAATCATAAAGAAATAAAATGCCGGGCGGTGGTGGCGTACGCCTTTAATCCCAGCCCTTGGGAGGCAGAGGCAGGTGGATTTCTGAGTTCAAGGCCAGCCTGGTCTACAGAGTGAGTTCCAGGACAGCCAGGGCTATACAGAGAAACCCTGCCTCGAAAAACAAAAAAACAACAACAGAAAAGAAAGAAAGAAAGAAAGAAAGAAAGAAAGAAAAAGAAAGAAAGAAAGAAAGAAAGAAAATTAGTACAACTAGAACCACATTTTATCATGTCAAATAAATTTATAACATTGTCTGTTCCTACGCAGAATGTTAAGTATTTTTTTACTTGTGTAAGTATGTTTTCTAACAATGGTCAGTTCTTGGATGCTCTAGACACCAGCTGGGCTCCAACAATTCATTTTGACACTGCCTGGAATTAGCTTCAGGTCCAACAGGTTGAAGGGGTTCAGGCCCCCTACACACACACCCACTCCCAATGTCCCTACTTGTGAGGAAATTTTAAATACCAGGCCACCATACCATATGCACTTTTGGCTGGTCACCTATGAATTGACGGTTTCCATCCTCCCTCCAGGTTTAATAACTTTTTGAATGATTCATAGAATTCATGGAAAACCTTTCCTTATATTTACTGACTTATTAAGGACACAACTCAGCAGTAGCCAGTTTGAAGAAAAAAAAAAAAAATGAGGGTGCCAGCCATGGTGGCACAGGCCTTTAGTGCCAGCACTCATGAGTCTGCAGGTGGATCAGCCAGCCTGGACCACAGAGTGAACTCAGCCTGGCCAGCGCTGCCCAGTGGGATGCTGTGGAAAGGGGGTGGAGGTGTGTGGAGCCTCTTTATCATCTCTGAACATCCTGCTCTTTTAGCGAATCCACAAGGTTATAAATATGGAAGCTTTCTGAATGTGACTCAAGGGTTTCTATAGCACAAAGCTCCGTGTTCCTCTTCTTCAGGACCCTGAGAAGGGCAGAAGGCTTCAGTCTTCTTATATCATGATCAGTCCCCAATTCCTGAAGCTATGCAGAGACCTTACATTAGTGTGAACTCAGGCTGATTGAAAGGAGTTCCTTATAAATAATGAAGCATAAAAGTTTGAGCTCTGTGCCAGGAGCTTGATACAAACCCAGATATGATTCTTACGTCACACTGTCCACTTGGGTCTTGTTCACTGCTGACTTCTGTACTCCACTGCTCTGTATGAACCTGCTAGCATAGTGTTTTTTCATAATAATTTGCAACAGAGCTGAAGAGCTTAAAATAGTGCCATCTGGGACAAGAGAGGTGGCTGAGCAGTGGGGAGCTCTTCCAGAGGACCTGGACTTGCTTCCCAGAACCAACACCTAGCTCATAACCAACCATCAGTAACTCTAGTTCCCAGGGATCCAGTGTCCTCTTCTAGCCTCCAGGGGTGCTGCACACACATGGTGCACAGATGCAGCACATGGTGCAGGCAAACACATAACATAGAATAGAAATAATAAATCCTTCTGCTTGTTTTTTGAAACAGTATCACTAGACCAGCCCTCAAAGTGATATTAAAGGTATACATCTCCATGACCAGCAAAATTTAAAAAAAAAATTTTTGAGACCTTGTCTTAAAGACAAAACAAAATAGCAAAAAGACAAACAACAAGCAAGAAAAAAAAAAAAAAAAGAAAGAAAAACCAGAACCATTTATTATCTCACAGTTATGAGTACATGAGTGGCCCAGGGTGGGTTAGCTGGATCTTCTCCTTGGGTCTACAAGGCTGAAAACAGTGTGAGCAAGGCTTGTGTTTCCTTCTTTACACGCACATTTAGATTTTTGTCAGAATTCAGTTTCTTGGATTTATAAGCACCTATTTTCTCACCACCAATCAACTAGGAATTACCCAGGTCCTGGAGGTGTGGACCTCAGGACCTTATAATCCATCCCTCTCCCTTGATGATCATGTTGGTCCCAAAGATTCTCTTCTTCAGCTAAGGCCCAGTTATTTTTAATAACTTGGCTGGATTATTTTTCATACACAAGATAGTGCTTTTTTGTTAGTTTGAATCAACCGCTTAGGGGTCTTGTGTTACATCCATGAACCCTGTCAGGGGAAGAGTGTGTATAGCAGAAGGCTGAACTTTTTGGAGCCATTTAGAAACCTACCCACCATAGTACTCAGTGTGTCTTGTCTTGTTTTCTTTTTAAAGCAAATAAAAGTAACAATGAATGACGAGGACATGGACACATACGTGTTTGCTGTTGGCACTCGCAGAGCTTTGCTGCGACTGCAGAAGGAGATGCAGGACCTGGTATGTCAAGCTGCTCTGATTTAAACGTTTGTCGAAACTGCCACTTTATCACAAAGAAGTTCAGCTTTGTGGGATGCCACAACTCTGTCTCTCAGATGTTAAGGACCACTTCAAAATAGATTATACAGACTTCACCATTTGGGAAAAACTGTGTAAAATAATCATGTTTTGTGTTTTCAATTTCTCTTCCAGAGTGAGTTTTGCAGTGATAAACCTAAGTCTGGAGCAAAGTATGGGCTGCCAGACTCCTTGGCCATTCTGTCGGAAATGGGAGAAGTCACAGAGGGAATGATGGATACAAAGGTAAATGGGATAGAGAATGGTGTGCCCGTCTGTGATGTCATGAGTTCTAGACCAGTCTAGGTAGTACAAAGGGAGACTATCTCCAAATAAACCAAGAAAGACGTGCATACGTTATGTATCTCACATGCTGAATTTTATTTGACCCTTGCTGAAACAATAGGTAAATAATCTCAGGCTACAGATCATTCATGATAAACATTCTCTATGTAACTTACAGTCATTTACCTGATTTTGACCAACTAGGTAACAGTTGTCAGTTGTCCACCATTCTAATTGCGGTATAGGCTCGCTCTCATGTTGAGAGGGTAGACTCCCTACAGATGGGACAGGTCTTCTCTGAGCCATCCATTAGTTACAGGTGTGCACTGCTTCCTCCTGCTGATAGACAGCTTGCCAGAGGACTGTCAGTCCAGGAACCGGACAGCTGGAGCTCATGTCCTAGCACCTTCCTAACAAGCTTCGTGTCCCACAGCTCCAGCTATGAGGGATATGACTCTCTCTTCTGCCTTCCCCAGGGGCACAGCACACATGCACACACATTTGCGCACACACACAATAGAATACAAAGTTCTCTAAAAGACCTATTGACTTTCAGGCTTTCAAGCTTTTTGTTTTGATTTTTGAGTCTCACTATGTAACCCTGGCTCATAGAGGTCCACCTCCTCTATCCCCCAAATGTTACAAATAAAGGTGTATGCCACCGATCCAAGCCAACTTTTTTTTTTTTCTTTTTTTTGGTTTTTCGAGAAGGGTTTCTCTTTTAGCCCTGGCTGTCCTGGAACTCACTCTGTAGACCAGGCTGGCCTCGAACTCAGAAATCTGCCTGCCTCTGCCTCCCACGTGCTGGGATTAAAGGCGTGCGCCACCACCGCTCCAAGCCAACTTTCAAGTTTGTTTGGTTAAGACTACAGTCCAATCTTGAGTTTCAGTTTGTGTAAGTCAGGGTGGGCACACAGGGTAGGCACTTGTGATCCTGTCATGGGAGGGCCTAAGGCTGGAGGGTGGCTGCAGAGAATAACCCTGATTGTGCTGGAACATGCTTTTGTAGGCCAGGCTGGCCTTGAACTCATATAGGTCTGCCTGCCTCGGCCTCCCCAGTGCTGGGACTAAATGAACCAAAACTAAAGGTGAGGTAATTCTAAACTGAAGGTGAGGTAATTTTTTTTAAAAGAAGTATTTTAGTCTGAATGACATTTTATAAAAGTAAGGATTACAAGGTGAATATCTATGAAAGCCTGGATTAACTTGAGTTAATATTCTTTCTGGATTTCTTTCAGATGGTTCACTTTCTTACACACTATGCTGATAAAATTGAATCTGTTCATTTTTCAGACCAGTTTTCTGGTCCGAAGATTATGCAAGAGTACGTATGAAGTAAAACTATTAAATTCATTTTCCTATTAGTTTTATGTTGGAACACCACAAGTAGCCTCTTGAGTTTGACTTAGTGGTTAGGAGTGTATTGCTCATGCAGAAAACCAGGGACCAGGACTTGGTTCCCAGCTCCCTTATGAAGGCTAAAAACTGCTCTTAACTCCAGCTCCAGGAGATTTGACACCTTTTTGGGCCTCCATGGGCACTGCATACACACATACATGCAGGCAAAACACTCAGACACAAAAATATAAATTTAGAAATTAAAAAATAAGCAAAAGTATTTAAAAAATATGGCCTTATTTCTATTTATTTATTTAATGACTATGAGTACACTTTACTCTATTCAGACACACCAGAAGAAGCCATCGGATCCCATTACAGATGGTTATGAGCCACCATGTGGTTGCTGGGAATTGAACTCAGGACCTCTGAAAGAGCAGTTGGTGCTCTTAACTGCTGAGCCATCTCTCCAGCCCATGGCCTCATTCTTAAATATAGGCATATTTCTGGCTCCCTGAGTGAAAGCGGATATATCTTGTCCACTGGAAACATCCCTGGAGGGGTTCAAATGTAGCCGAGTGTGCGTACAGAGTGTGTGTATGACTGTAACGCCGTTCAGGTTCTGGGATTCCCTGACTTGGAGATGCAGAGTACACACACTGCTATTTGCAGGTCTTTGTCCACCTGAGTCAGATGTGTGCTGGTGTGCATAGACGGGTCCTTTCTACAGTCTCTTTTAATAGACTTCTCTTTGATGACAGGGAAGGTCAACCCTTAAAGCTGCCTGACACCAAGAGGACACTACTGTTTACATTTAATGGTGAGTATTCTGGGTCCTATCTGTCTAGTTCTTAGTTTCTTCTGAAATGTTTTTGAGATTATTTTTCCTTCTGAAATAATAGCTCTAAAACTACAGCATGCTAACTTCATTTCTCCTTGCTGATTTCTGGGTTCCTCCAAGGAGCTAGACTGTTAGCATTAAGAAAGACAGACTGCCAACCCAGAAGTATTAATGTAGGAAAATGGCTTTGTTTTTCAGTGCCTGGCTCAGGTAACACATACCCAAAGGATATGGAGGCTTTGCTACCCCTTATGAACATGGTGATTTATTCTATCGATAAAGCCAAAAAGTTCCGACTCAACAGAGAAGTAAGTTCTTAATCCTTTTTTACAAGCCAGCCCCCTTTTTTTTGTTGTTGGGTTTTTCCCCTGATGGGCAGCAGCTGTCAATAATTGCAGTGACTGAGCCTTTGCTAGTTGGCTTGAAAGTGTCGAAGGAGAGGAGTTTTAGCAATGCTAAGTGGGGTTTTCTCCTGTGCCTTAGAATTGGTTCCTCATGAAGTCTTTGTTTCCTGGGGAAGGGTAAACAAAAAGCAGATAAGAACCGGGCACGAGTGGAAGAGAACTTTCTGAAGTTGACACATGTGCAGAGACAGGAGGCTGCACAGTCTCGGCGTGAGGAGAAGAAAAGAGCTGAGAAGGAGCGGATCATGAATGAGGAGGACCCTGAGAAGCAGCGCAGGCTGGAAGTGAGACACTCCTAGAGGCTCAGGCTGCTGGGCTTGGCTTTTCTATTATATGGTTTTTATGTTTTGAGATCATAATTATATGATTTCCCCTTCCTTGTCCTCCTTCCCAAACCTCCCATATATTAATTCCTTTCCACAGTTGTCTTTTAAATTTTTTCTTTGTTGTTGTGACTTGTGTGTGTATGTGTGTGTGCACACGCGCGTGTATGGATGCGTCTTAACTATGTAAGTACAACCCATTGAGTCTGTCTGCTGTTCCCTGTGTGCATGTTTCCAGAGCTGACCATCTGGTGGTGGGGAACCAGTTGATGCTCTTCTCTGGGAAGGCTGGCTCTCCTGCTCTCAGTGTTCTTAGCTGCCTGCAGTTCTTTGTCTAGGGTTGAGGTTTTGTGAGATTTCCCCAAAACTGCTGTTTTGTTTTTAATTATCTACATGCCGATTTCTACCCTACTGTCTACTATGATAAATCTCTGTAGAGATGTGCTCAAGCTAAAAGTTACTATTTTTTAGCATTTGGGATATGTTGTCATTTGACAGCACTTTACTTCATAGTAAGTTTACTCCATAGTAAGTTGAGTTTGTGCACCTGGAAATGACTGAATTACCCCAGCACAGTTCCATTCCAGATCAAACGATTAGAAGGAAGTCAGGGAATTGTTAATAGTTGGCATATGCATCTTATGTTTTATTTATTTGTTTATTGCTTTTTTTGAGACATGGTTTCTCTTTGTGTACCTTTGGCTGTCCTGGAATTCTCTGTAGACCAGGCTGGCCTCAAACTCACAGAGATCTGCCTGCCTCTGCCTCCCAAGTGCTGGGATCAAAGGTGTGCGCCACCACTTCCCAGCTCTTATATTTTAGTAATCTTGTCACTTAAGATTAGGGTTTGAAGCCAGGTGGTGATAACACATACCTTTAAACCCAGCAGCATTTGAGAGCAGAGGCAGGTGGATCTCTGAGTTTGAGGCTAGCATGGTCTACAGAGTGAGTTCTAAGACAGCTAGTCTAAACAGAGAAACCATGTTTCACAAAAAATAAATAAATAAATAATAAAATAAAATTAGTGTTTGATACAGAATTAGTGAATTCTACTATCTACACCATGCCTGGCCTTAATAGCAATATCAAGACTAGCAATTGGCTAAGTAATGAGAACTTATCTTTTAAAAAGGGTGTGGCAGTTGAATTTAGTGCCACCGTGGTTAACTTATTGAGATCTTGCCTCAAAGAAATACACATACCATGCAAAACCTCATTGAGTGTAGTGCTAAATTAAGATTTAATTATCTTTGCTTTGTTTTGTGTTCATTTTTATTCCTCAGCATATAAATTGGCAATGTTTTTGTTTTGTCATTTGAAACAATGTCTCCTAACACAGATTGGCCTGAAATTAACTATGTAGCCAAGGTTGGATCTATAGCACAGATTGGCCTGGAACTAACATGTAGCCAAAGTGCAGTCCTCTGCCTTAGTCTTCCAAATGCTGGCTGGGATTGGTGTGGTCATCATGCCTGGCTTGCAATTATTATAAGTATCTTTAAGAATGTCCTGTGTGTTACAAGACCAAGATTTTGGATAAAGGCCAGGCATGATGTCACATGCCTTTAATCGCAGCACTCAGGCAGAGGCAGACAGATCTCTTGAGTTCAAGGCCAGCCTGGGCTACATAGTGAGTTCCAGCACAGCCAGAGCTATATAGAGAGAAGACCCTATTTCAGACTTCCCACACTCCCACTCTCAAAAAAGGATTTTGAATAATAGTATGGATGAGTGGAGGTGCCTGTGTCTGACAGATGCTTGGAACAGAACTTGGGTCTTCTGCAAGAACATCAGGAGTTCTGACCACTGAGCTGGTTCTCCAGCCCCCATTTTTTTCAGTGTGTTCTTGGAGTTTAATTTGGATCCTTCTCTCTCCCTCCCTGTCACACAGGAAGCTGCTTTGAGGAGGGAACAAAAGAAGTTGGAGAAGAAGCAAATGAAAATGAAACAAATCAAAGTGAAAGCCATGTAGAGTCATTGCATAGGTGTCCTCGCTGCTGTAAGCTCTGCGTCCACCAGAAACGGGAAAAGCACGAGTCCTCATCTAACAGTCACGTATTCCTGCTGACTGAGAGATCTTTATTTCACCCTCTCCTCTTGGTTTGGAGTTCTACAGAGGTTATAGATACATTGAAAGGGCTCTTTCAGTTATTTCCTTGCAGATAATCAAATTATTTTGATTATTTTATAAAAGGAATGGTATATAAAGTATGTGTAGTTTTAAAATATGTTTAAATTATAATGTGAATCATCAGTGCTTTACTTTGGTGTTTGAAGAACGATCATGAAATTTCTAGGTAGGTTGTTGCTTTTTGTTTAAACTGGGCAATTGAAATAACTATGGAGACTGACTCTAAACCAAGACCCTAAGAGTATCTATTGGAATTGCACAATAAACATTGCTTGTTTTTTCTGTGTCCACATTAAACTTGTAAAAAAAAGTAGAATCTCGAACACTGTATGTGATGACGAATTCAAAGACTTAGAACATAGTACGGTGTATGTTTTGTGTGTGGGTGGTGCTGATGGCAGTATTATAGGAAGAAATCTGTAGGTGTTAGGATTCTATAAGTCCATGGAAGATTCTAGAGGTAGGTAGTGCAGGAGCCGTTTCTCATTGCCTGATACGATGAGCTAATGACACTGTGAGTGTGGATTTGAAGGAGTTATGTGCTTATTTTTTCTGAGCAAGAAATGCACAAAAAAGTGAACTGCTTCACCTAGCTCCGATCAGCAGCAGTCAGATGGCTGGTCTCTGTGAGGTCACAATGGTTGCCTTGCTTGCTGCAGCCTGTTAGGTGTTCATGGAGGAGCTGATCTCCGTCTTATGAGTGCACTTTGCTTCTCTGCCTGCTTTTATATTGTCCACAGGCCAGTATGTACTTTCTCGAAACAAATAACCATCGATATGCACAAATATGCTTTTAAAAAAGTAAACTTTTTTAAGTGATTCAGAATTTTGTCTGACTCGTGAGGCGGGAGCGATGGTGGGGAGAGGCCCCTCTCTGTGCATAAGCATTTGGCTTGTTGAGATCTCTGCATTTTATAAATGCTTCCTACCGAGAAAGCATTTCTTAAGTCTCTGCTTGTACCAGGTAGTTTTTTGCTGGGGTGGGAAAGGGTTGTTTTTTGTTGGGAGCGGGTGGTGGGGTTTTGTTGATGCTTTCTGTGTTCTGACAAAGTAACAGTGAGTTGCAGTGAAAATTGTGTGTGTTGCTGCCTTGGGAATTGATGGAGTTTTTCACGTGGCTTTGTTAATAGAAATATATGCACTGGGATATTCAAGTGTAATGTTTTTTTAACAGTTCACAAGTTTAAGTTATTAAAAATAACCCAAAATTGAATCACTTTAAGGCCATATAATTTTAGACTTAACATTGTTTTACAAATCTTTAAAATACATTTAGAATCAAAATTTATGTGCTTGGTTATCGTTTAAGTAATGTAAGCTTTCTTAAAGTCCCATACATCGGACCGTGGCAGCTAATTTTGTAACTTAAGCATTCATATGAACTACCTATGACATATTAAACTGATTGACAAAATCTGCAAGTGCCGCTTTGACTTTTTGTAGTTATACAAGAATATGTATACAATTCTCTTATTAAAAACACTAAAATGGTTTTCCTTCAAAAGCGTTAATTTTGAGTATTCCTTTGTGGTTACCACTTAACACTTTGGGAGTATTTTATATTCTAAAGCCCTCTACATTTTGTTTCAGAAAGGGTCTCACTATGTAGCCCTAGCTGGCCACAGTCAAACTCAGGATTCCCTAGCCTCAGCCTCCTGAGTGCTGAGATACTGGCATACCACTGCACCTTGGCCCACAGGATGGTTGGATGGTTGGTTGGTTGGTTTGAATTCAATTTTTTATTACTTTTTAGGTTTTTGTTTTTTATTAATTTATTACGTATACAGCATTCTGCCTGCATATATGTCTGAAGGCCAGAAGAGGACACCATATCTCATTTATAGATGGTTATAAGCCACCATGTGGTTGCTAGGAATTGAACTCATGACCTCTGGAAGAGTCAGTGCTCTTAACCTCTGAGCCATCTCTCCAGTCCCCTTGGGGTTTTGTGGGGGGGTGGTTCGGTTGTTGTGGTGGTGTTTTTTGTTTGTTTTGTTTTGAGGCATAGTTTCAGTCTTGGAACTACGATGTTATTACTGAGGTCCTTCCTATGTTAGTCAGCTCTCTGTCACTGACAAAATAGCTGAGATGTGCTTCAGATAGGAAAAGATGGTTTGGGATGACAGTTTCAGTTCTTGGACTCTGCCCTCTGGCTCAGGGGAGGCAGCCTGTGGTAGAAAAAAGCTACTTACTTCATAGCGGCCAGGGAGCTGACAGATAGGAGAGGCAGAGGTGTTAATATCCCAAAGCCACACCCTCAGTGACCTCACTTCCTTCTTTGGTTTCCATCATCTACCCATAGTGTCACTGGCTATCTGTCTTTACCATGGGACTTTGGTAACATTTAAGATCCAAACCATGATAGTCCTCTCTTTGGGTAAGATATCTTATGTATGAATCAGAGGACCAAGAGAGGAGAATGTTGCTGCTGTCACACTGTAAAGAAAACATGCTTCCTAAATCTTTTTGCCTGGATCACTAGCAATGCCAAAATTAGCCTTGAAGTATAAACATGGACAGTGTCAACAAAACCAATTGCTAGAACTGGAGAGATGGCTCAGTGGGTAAAGGTGCTTGCTGACCTTGATAACCTGAGTTTGATCTTCAAAATGCATGCAACTCCTACAAGTGGTCATTTGACCTCTACATATGGGCCATGGTATATGCACACATGTACACAGTAGGTGGATAAATAAATATTTTGAAAAAAATTGCTAAGCCTTTTCGTTTGGGTAAGTCACTGACCTCTTGAGTCTGGTGTTTATTCTTTTCTAATGGAGTAAACAGTTTCCTACCTCACAGTTTTTATGTGTATGTGTGTTTTGCTTGCATATATGTCTATGTACTATGCATGTACAGTGCCCAAGGAATCCAGAAGAATGTTAAAACTTCTGGGGCTGGAGTGGTGGTTGTGAGCTGACCTCAGGGTGCCAGGAATGGAACCCAGGATCTCTGCAAGAGCAGTCAGTGCTCGTAACTGCTGAACCATCTCTCTATCTCACAGATAATTTAAAACCAAAAGATTATGGGTGCAGACTTGTTTTATAATCTTACACTTTACGAAGGCAAGGCTACTATCCAGTGGTGCCATTTTACTTTATTCTCTTGTTCTCCTCTGTCTAGTGTAATGAGATGAATGAATTCTTTTAGCCTCTGACTTTATATGTGGGAACTGAAAAGGGTGTTTTGTTTTTTTCTGGAGCTGGAGGGTGTGGTGGAAATAGAGGAATTATAATTCTGTTTCCTTAGTACAAGGAAACCTCACTGTGTGTGTGTGGTTTTTTTTTTTTTGTTTTTTTTGTTTTTTTTGTTTTTTTTGTTTTTTTTTTTTTTTGGCAGGGGGGTTCAAGACAGGTTTTCTCTGTATAGCTTTGGCTGTCCTGGAACTCACTCTGTAGACCAGGCTGGCCTCAAACTCAGAAATCCACCTGTCTCTGCCTCCCAAGTGCTGGGATTAAAGGCGTACGCCACCACTGCCCGGCAACCTTACTGTGTTAAGCATAAGATCTAGAACTCTTTTATATGGGACTTGGAAAAAGGAAGATACGTGGCGGCACATCCGTCATCCAGTAGGAAGTAGAGAGTGTGAAAATTGTTAACAGGTCTGTTGGATTTGGTGAGAAGTCAAATTCTGTACTTTATCAACCCAGGTTCTCTTCTGCCTCACTTACTGTAAATGATGTTCAAGGATGTAAGAGGGAAGAGTTAGACCCATAGGGGTGGCTTCCATTACAAACTACTGAATCAAAAGTAAAAGGAAGCCTCGCTGGGCATGTGGCTCGGGTCTTTAACTCCAGTTCGTAAGTTTCAAGTGTATGTCAGAAAAGATTCTATTACAAAAGGAAGATATCAGGGCTAGAGAGAGGCTGGGGATTAAAAGCACACTTACTGCCCTTGCAGAAGACCTACAGCCCTAGTGGATATGTTCCCCTCTTCTGGTCTCTGCAGCCAGCTGCAGGCACATACAATCATCTAAACATAAAAAAAATCTTAAAATGAAGATAGTGTTACGATTGTATAAGTTCACAGCTTTCTTAACCCTCTGAATTAAGGAATAAAAGAATGCTGTTTCTCTTACTCTTGTTCTCCTGGTCTCTTGATCCTCTGTCTTCTTGCCCCTTTTCCCATTCCCTTCCCCCTCTCTCCATGTGCTTATGGCCAGCCTCTACGTCTCTCTCTCTCTACCTCTCTCTGCCTCTACTACTCTCCTAACTCCCCTCCCCATCCCCTGAATAAACTCTATTATACTCTATTACACACACACACACACACACACACACACACACACATATATATGTGTGTGTGTGTGTGTGTGTGTGACTTTTTCCCAGTGGTGGATCCTACTGCTTGCTTTGAGGTGAGGTCTCTCTCATCTTTAACCCAGACTGGCCTGTAATTCATGGCAGTGCACGTGCCCCAGCCTCGAGTGATGGGGTGATGGATGGGTACCAGCATATCTACTTGTTTTCTAAGAGGACTACTTAAGCATCACGTAGGTTAGTTTCCAAGGCATAGATAGGCTTAGGCTTGGCCTTTCAGGCAGCTAGAATGCACTACCATGCCCACTCACTGTCCTACCTACCTCTTGAGACAGAGTCTCTTATATTCCAGGCTGGCCTCCAGCTTCTGGTCCTCACTCACCCTGGCCTTTTTAAAATATCCCTTTTCGAGCTGGAGAGATGGCTTAGTAGTTAAGAACACCGGCTGCTCTTCCAGAGGTCCTGAGTTCAATTCCCAGCAACCACATGGTGGCTCACAACCATCTGTAATGGGATCTGATGCCCCCTTCTGGTGTGTCTGAGGACAGAGTGGATTGTGTAATTATGCCGGGTCGCACACCTTTAATCCCAGCACTTGGGAGGCAGAGGCAGGTGGATTTCTGAGTTCGAGAGTTCGAGGCCAGCCTGGTCTACAGAGTGAGTTCCAGGACAGCCAGGGCTACACAGAGAAACCCTGTCTTGAAAAGAAAAAAAAATCTCTTTTCCTTGGGAATTACTGAGGAGCAAGGTGGTACTGCCTCGCCTGTCAGTGCTTTTCAAACTTTTCCATTCTTCAAAGGTATTTCTAGTTAGCATACAGAATAATGGGTCTCACTGTGACAGGTTCATACCTATAACACTATTTTGCTCATGTCTGTTCTCACAATACTCTTCCCCCCTCCTTCCCTTCATATTTTAAATGTATTTATATAGCTTTCTTCTGTAGATTTTTCTGTACCTTAGCTTATCACTTTGCAGAGCTAGAACTGAAGCTGGTTTCCTGTGCCAACAGTGCTCTGGCTTTCTGCGTCATATTTATAACCACACACACTTGAACCCAAGGCCTCCTGCTGTTAGGTGAGCACTCCACTGATGCACCTCCAGCCCTCCTATTCCAGTGCTTTTATCAAGGCTCTTTGCTTTTGTCTTCCCACTCCTTTCTAAAATGGCTATTTGTAAGCTCCATGCTAGGTAGTAGAATGTAAAGTGCTTAAGGACAGAAGATTGAGTAATTCTAGTTGATTTGTTCTACATGGCATAAAAACAAGCTGCCAATTTTTGAAGTCAGTTCCAGAAAGCTCTGGAAATCTTTAAACACCATAACACTGCAATTTAAAAAGCATCAGAAGCTTGTGCCTTCCAGGGCTCACACTCTGTAACCTCTGAATGTTGACCTTTCAATGTACAGTTTATCCTGACTTAGCAGGATTGGTGTATGAGAACCTGTGCATTTGCCCACTGAAATCATCACAGCAGAGTCTGGGTGAAGGGGTTCCCTGAACAGTTACTGTGGGCAGTCATCTGGTTGGTAAAATCTTTTAGCCACACTGACTCTCAAATCGTAACATCCTGTTAGAAAATGTGGTAGCTGGGTCACTAGGTATTTGAATAGATAAAATACCTAGCATTTACACATCCCATTAAAATGTCTGTAAGAGGTTTTAGGACTCAGGCACTTGTCCAGCATGCTGTGAGGCCCTAGGTTCAATGTCTAGTACAGTCCACAGAAGGGGAAGGGAAAGAAAGGAGAAAGAAAAAACTCAATTTGAGGTTACCTTGGCAGTTATAGCTGGGTGCAGTGGTTCACACCTGTAATCCCAGAAGAGATGGAGTTCACTGAGTTTAAGGCCAGCCTGCTTAGCCTGGACTAGATATGAGACCCTGGCTCAAAACTAAGTTTGGGGCTGGAGAGATGAGTCAGCAATAAGAAGCACTTGCTGCTCTTGGAAAGATCTAGCACCCACAACTCTGTCACTCCAGTTCCAGGGGATATGGTACCTTCTTGACCTCTGCCTGCTTCTGGACACACATGGTTTGTACACATACATTCAAGTACATAAAAGTGCATGCACAACATCCAAAAAAAAAAGAAAAAAGCTTGATAACCTTTTCAGGTTCTGCTTTCCCTAGTATTCTGGATGCCAAAGACCATGCGAACTGGCAGGAAATGTGTTTCCCTCCACTCCCTTGCTTTTTGTGGATTCATGAAGTTCTATGCTGAAATATTTTGAGACCGAGATCGAAA